AAAACAAAAAACGAAAGAAAGAAGAATGAAAACAAACACCGATCTATATGAGAAATATAAAGAATCTTGGAAAGAAATACTCAGTCTATGAAGGGATCAGTGCGTATAATAATAGAAAATAAAATCTTGTTTACTATTTGTTTAAGAGAAAAAAAAGAGAAGAAGAAGAAGAAACAAACAAATATATATATATATTATTTATGTGTGTTCGAGCAAATCATAGAGAGGACATTTAAACGCGTCCAAGCGTAATACAAGACAATAGCGATTACATCGTCTAGGTAATAATTAAAAATAAAAACAAAAACTATTGTACTTAATTTTATTCCTTAGATATTTTATGACGTTTATTTGATGATGATGATGATGACGATATTTGCTCATTTGTATGTCTTCCAACTAAAGATTTTGTTGGGGATTGATGGCGATAAACAGGTTTACCATTTGATTTCGTTGATGATACTCTTCGTTGTTCAGTTATAGCTATAATTATATCGCCACATTCTAATTGACGACATTTTAAACCACATGCATGATATGTATGCTCAGGAGATATCGATGACCAACATGAATGTTGATGAACAAAAAAAAGGCATTTCTTGTAAAACATAATACGAAGTCTAAAAAGAAGAAATGTTTTTATTAGAATAGTTTTTATTTCTTCTTACCGTTTTTTCCATATCATCAATATGAAAACGTAATTCAGCTTTACCAGTCATTTTATCAACTGGACTAATATAATCTATTCGGGCTAAAAGACTAAATAAATAGAAATTTTATTAGCAAAAATTTTATTTTCGAAAAAAACTTTATTAAACCTTGAATATTGACGACTTCGTTTAGCACTTGTTAAAAAATCATTTGTTGTTAATTGTTGAATATTTTTTGGTTCACCTGAATCTAAATTCACTAATGTATCTTGACGAAATTTTGTTAAAAATATTTCATCATCAGTTTTATGAGAAGGTAATTTTTGTAATGAACGAGAATTATAATGACGAAATGAACTAGTTCGTGGATCATTATCATTAGATGAATCATCTGACAGTTGATCAGCATTTAGTTTTGATGATAAAAATCGATGATAATTCCATGTATGTAATAATTCCATATAATTTCGAGTTGGTGATACAAGATCAGTATAAGAAAAATGTTGATATGAATTTGTTCCATTTGAATTCAATGTTGGACTATGAGTAAAATTAGGTGAAGGTAAATTTAAATTTGTAGGGCCAAATTTAAATGTTGGTGATGAATTGGTCATTTCACTATTTGTATTTACTGTGGAGGGATGCATCTGTTTTCTTTGTGTTACTTATCTAATCACTGCGTATTGTTTATTCCACAGACTACTAAAAAGAAGAGAGAAAAAAAAAGAAAATTCTATATCTGATAAATAATAAAACATTATTTCATATCTTTAGCATCAAAAGAAAACAAGATTTCTTTTGATTATTTTAAAAAAAAAGAATTTCTAACTGAATGAAAAAAATTAAAAATAACCCATTGAGAAAATTTTCTCTAGCCACAAGACAATCTCTTCTAAATGAAATGAAGCTTAAAGAAAAGAAAAGCATGAAAAAATACGTAGTATACTCTACTCTACTCTACTTTTATAGTTAATGACTGCTTACGTCGATTGACAGTCAGATAGTCAACGAAAACGGGATTGTTTTTTAGGCGGGCACAGGAAAAAGGGGAAACGAGAACGAGAAAGAAAAAACCAACAGAGAGAGAGAGAAAGAAAAAAGACATGCGTCCTGCCATATTTATATATCGATGACTCTTTAAAAAGAGCATATGTATGTTAAAAACATGCACGATCAATAGAGTATTCCTCTAATCTTGATTACACAAAACAAAAAATATTCAAATTTTATCACTTCATAGTTCTATATATATATACACATATAGGACACTTATTTTTACTCGATAGTAATAAAAAATTTATCAAAAAAACAAGCAAATAATAAAGTAGTATGTTGCATCAGATTACATGCAAGAGAAAAACCCAAGTTGTCATTTTTTTTTCTTTTTCTTATTGATTTAAGATCAATTGACTCTGACAAGAATAAATTTTACTTTTAACCCTAGATTTTTTTAAATAAAAAATAAACAAGAAAAAATACTGTATTCTTTTTTTCAATGCGTACATATATGCATATAGTAATAATAATAATAATAATAATAATAAAAATACTAACAACGTCAACACTATTTATCAATTCTCTAATCTTTCAACCCACTTACCTTAGATTCTTTGACATTTGTTTGTTAGTTGTAATACTGACGATGGCAATTCGTAACTACAGAGAAAAAGAGGAAAAGGCCGCCGATGTTGTCGTCGTTACAACTATCTACCCTTTTATTTTCTTTTTCTTCTCTTATTTCTTTTTTTTTCTTGCCGTATTATTT